CCCCCTAACCCCAGAGCATGTGTAAAAGTATCCTACAGTTCCAATAACAGGATGGATAGATATCTGGCTGGGGTATCATAATCCTAGCACTCATTCCTGCCCAGGGCAGGGGGGTGGACTTGATGATCTGTTCAGGTCCCTTCCGACTCTAGAAACTATGAAACTATGAAACACTTACAGGACCCTTATTAACAAAAGAATAAAAATAATAAAGTAGAAAACAGATCCCTTTTGTGTTTAGTGATTTAACTTCAGCATATATATTCTTGTTTAAATTATGAATATTTCTAACAGCTTGTGCTAAATGGATTACTCAATGAATTTATTCTTTTTTCTCAGGCAAATGTATGACTGAATGGGCAGAAAGGCTCCATGTAGTGTATTTATTACTTGAGTTTATTCAGTACATTTTTGCAGTTTTTCCTTTACCTTAGAATTGAACATGGAAAAATACCATGAGAATTCACTCTTTACCTGATGATTAAATGTATTAGCTGTACATTATTGTAATGTCATTGCATCTATTTCAAACTGGACGAGTTTATTATCAGGAGACACAATAATATTTTAACTCAGCCTCAACTGTGCTACATTTTTATCATTCTTTGTACTTCTCTATTTAACAAATCATAATGAGGATTTTTTCAGGACATTTTATTTCTAAAATGTTTGCATTCTTATAATCTTTTTAAAAGTATTTTATTTCCATCAAACATGCTCATGTTATCATTTACATTCATTTACTACATTTCCATCAAATAAAGTGATGTGAACAATAGGATTTTGAATAGTTGTCATTGTTACCTCCATTTTAAGTTATTTGATTTCAAATAGTAGTGACAGGCCTTGAGAATCAGATAATAGTACCAATGTATAAAAAACTATTACAGTGACACAAGGAAGCCCTGACTCATAGTGTAGGAGGACTAGATGTTCACAAGATTTAACAATGTCTATAAATGCTCATGCAACGCTCTTCTTGTCTAACTAGTAAAAGTATATTAAATGGAGTATTCTTGCTTTAGAAAACATATTTTGTCTTCCCTTGCTGTATATGTCTATTACAAAGTAGAGTGTATTATGTTTATATTAAGTTGTTAGCAAAGGAAAAAGTCTCAGTGTCTCCTAGCCTGAAGATGGGGCTCATGTCAATCCAGTTTATGCTGCACTGCAGACACAGAAATCAAGTTAGTTTTTTATTAAGGCTTTTTATCCATGTCATCAAGTCAATAGGAAATTTTCTTTTCAAATATAGCATACTACTAAAGCTATATATTTTAGGAAGGTGTGTCTTCCTCCTGTGTAATCTTATTTGTAGTTGAGCATTTTCAAATATTGACAGAATCTAGATGAGGCCAGATTTATTTTGGCAAAAAAAAGTGTTAAGTATCTCATTCACAATTTATTTTCATGTATTATGCATTACTTGTGTTCCAGGAAGATCATACGCAAGATATTTTTGAGGCATACAGTTATTAGCATATGAGAAGAAGTCAGATTCATTCTTGAATAAAATGTATATTCATTATCACTAAGTTCAGCAACAGGTACTAGAGGCAGACAGGCAAATCTTCCAATTCAAAACACA